CTGTCCAATTATACTCACTAAAAAAAGTTCTAAGGTGGCCATAATGTCCTCTCCTGAAGTCAGGTTTTTCAACTGATTCAACCTCCATATTTTCTTCCAGATTATAACGCATTGCATACTTTATTCCCAAAAAGACATGGTCACTTTTACCCAAGGGAGGAAGGTTCTGAATGTCAAATCTCTTCCTCCTCCCTGGTAAATATCAAATCTAGCATGGAGGGAACGTCCCCTTCCCTCATCCTCGCAGCTTGTTTAACATGTTGATACAAGAATGTTTCCAGGATGAGGTCTACAAATCTACAGGTCCAAAAATCTTCTGTTTTAGCTTCATATGCTTCCCAGTCTATGAATTTCAAGTTGAAGTCACCGACTATCAACAGTCATGATCTATCGTTATCCGCTCTTGCTATAATCTCTCTCATTATTCTTATAAGACCTTCGCGTTTACTATCTAGCTCCTCCTTTGACCATGTGCTGCTTGGCGGTGGACTATATGCATTTATGATCATTAGTTTATCATCCTCATGGCAGATCTCTAGTGCTATTATGTCAACTTCTTGTGAATTGGCAGTCACTATTTCTTTCACCTTTAGGTGTTCTTTCACCAGCACAGCAACACCACCGCCTTTCCTAATTTTTCTGTCCCGTCTCCAAATTGAATAGCCCCTTGGGAATATGACCTCATTTAAAATAACATCTTCAAGTTTTGTCTCCGTGAGTGCAACAATGTCTGGTGTCTGCAGCTGTATTACATCACTTAACTCTAGTATCTTCGATCTCACTCCATATATGTTGGTGTATGCAATCTTCAGGAACTTGTTCCCCCTCTCCTTATTCTTCACTCCCCCCCTCTCTATTGATTTTGTTGGTTTGCCTTTATGTACCACTTTACTGGTCTGCCTACCCCTATCACTTTGTAGAAAAAGAATTGATTTCTTCTTCATTCCTGCTCTCATTTAAAATTTTTGCCTCTACGAGGTTCAGTTTCAGCTTCTCTCTCTTTTTTTGAAAGATCTCGTCTTAACGACCACACTCCCATCCTCATCACTTTGTAATTTTCTAGCATTCCTGAGTACTTCTTCCATCTGTTTGGCACCGTTTAGGGTGATCCTCAAAGGTCGATCTTTCCCTTTTACGTATTTGCCTATTCTCCTGTAGTCGCACACATTCTCTATGGTAGTAAGACTTTCTACGAGGGCCAACAATTTTATCTACTACTTTCGCTTCTTCTGCAGCTCTTTCTGACCTATATGTTATCTCCTGTTCTTTGCAACCAAATATTATCAGGGACTTACTCCGATCAACTGTGTTTTGCACCAACTTCGGGTTAGATGCCAATTCCTTTCTCACTTCCAGCCTAATGTTTGTTTTATCTTGGTTGCTGCAGTGTTTGACTTCCTTTACTGCTTCTTCAATTTTTTCCTTCTCCTTGACAGATGGGAGGGAGGGTTGCCAGGGAGCCTCCGGGGCTCACCCAGAAAATGGCATTTCATTACATTCAACGCTGGTTTTTTGTCTGTTGCTGTTTGCAGAGACTGCGGCTGTGCAGTAACTGCAGACAGCTTTGTCTAGTTCGGCTTCTCGTAAGGGTCGTCGGGCCTTTCGCTGTTCGCTCCGTTGATGGGACAATTAGGGCGGGGGGGGGGGGGAGAGGTTCGCCCTTTTTGCCCATGCCTGGTCCCACGATTTGTGGTCATTTCGGGTCGTTTCTTCCGGCCTCCGGTGGCGGTGGCGTTGGGTTACTCCTTCTCCTCCCGGAAGTTCGGAGGTAGTGGGGCAGGCCTCTTTTCGTACGCTCTGTCAAGTCATCCTGGAGTGGGTCCACTTGGGCGTGGTCGAAATGTCGATGTCCCTCAGGTGGGTTTCCTGCCTTTTTCCAGTGCCGAAACAGGACTGCGCGGATGTGAGGTTCATTTTGGACTTGGCCTGTCTGAACCCTTGGGTCTCTTGCCTCTCTTTTTGGGTGACCACTGTGTCCCAGGTCCGGCTTCTTTTGAAGCCGGATGCTTGGATAATGTCTCTGGACCTCCGGGATGCGTATTGGCACTTCCCGATTCATCCAGGGTTCAGGGACTAGCTCGGTTTTGTTGTGGGGCAGCATGCTTACAGCTTTCGTTGCCTTCCATTCTGCTTGAATCTGACTCCTCGCTTTTTCACACGCCTTACCCAGGTTACAGTGGCCCATTTGCTTCTGCTAGGGGGAGGGGGTAGCAGAAGCAACCCAAACGTCGTGGTTTGGGTTCTGGCCTACCTCGACGACTGGCTGGTTTGGGCCTACAGCCAGTTCACGGGTGTGCTCACCAGGGATTTGGTTCTTTCCCAGCTCGCCAGGTTCGGGTTCTTGGTGAACTGGAGGAAGTCCCATTTGGTTCCGTCTCAGGTTCGGACTTGGCTGGGTCTTGTGTGGAACTCTCGGACCAATTCCTTGTCTCTCCCTCCCGCGGTGTTGCTGCGGCTGCAGTCCCACCTTTGACTGTTTTTGGAGGGCATCTGGGTCACTTATTAGTTGTTCTATCAGCTGTGCTGGAGTCTGAACTTCGCCGTGCTGGTCTACCCATTGGGTCAAATCTGGCTTCAACAGCTGTTCTGGTTCCTTCGGGGACATCCCTTCTGCTGCTCTCACGATCGCTGGGTTCGAACTCTGGGCCTTGCGTCAGCTGCTGCATCTCCGGCTTCCTCTTTGGGTTTTGGGGGTTCAGTACCGTGGTGCGTACCTGAGCCCTTGCTCGATGTGTTCACAGATGCGTCGTCTCTCGGCTTTGTGACCAGTGCTCACCAGGTCGGCCAGGGGTGGTGGAGTCCGTCCTTCTGTCAGGCTCACAGCACGTTTTGGTAGTTTGCGGCGGTGTGGCTTTCACTTCACAGGGTTCGTGTCGCTCGCGGATCGACAATCCTGCTCCATTCAGACTGCTCGCCAGTGGTTCATTGTCTGAACTGCGGGGGTTCGATGCGGTCCTTGGCTGTTTGGGGCTGATTTCTTCGGGTAACTCATCTGTGGATTCTCGGGGTTTGGCTCTTCAGGCCGTTCATATCCAGGGTGTGTACAACGTCCTGGCGGATGGCTTGTCCCAGTTCCATTCCCCTGTTCCTTCGATGTCGATGCCCACAGTTGGCTCTGCCGGACATACAGGTGAATGGCGATGGACTGCTTCGCGTCAGCGTGGTCGAGGCGTCTTTTGGTATATGTGGCACCCTTTCCTAACTGCAAGGCCATCGTGTTCGATGTCTTTCGGCTAGATTGGTCGAGGTGGGGTTACCTGTATCTCTTTCCCCTGGTCCAGCTCTTGCTTAAGGTTCTGGCTTGGAGACTTACCAGGGAAGAGAAGTTGTGTTTGTCCCTTGATGGCCGACCCAGCCTTGGTTTCAGGTGTTGCTAGCTCGGTGTCCGAACCCGGGGATCTTTCCGTGGCTCAGCCTCTTTCAGCAGATTGGTCCGGTCCAGTACGTGGCTGGTTCGATCTTCTCCGATCTTCGCATCTGGTCTTTATGACATGGGTTTATTGCCACTTGTATGGTGATCAGGTGGCTTTCTTGATGTTCTCCTACCTGCGTGTTTCATCTTGGCAGCAGTATGAAGTTTCCTTTGGCAGCAGCAGCCAAAGTGAATATTACCAAAAGCAGCAGCTTTTACTGCTGTTTTTGTTCCAGCTGCAATTTGTTTGCTCCATTCATTCTTGTACAAATCTCCTCAGGATCTTTTATGTAGTTATGCTTCTGCTGCTGCTTCTTCTCTCAGTTTGTGAGGGTGAGTTCTCTCAAACTGTCCTTAGAGCTGACACCTCTCAATTAAGATACTAATCCATTTATAAACCTCTTGAGTTTTCACAGGTTTCTTCTTGTGCTTTACAAAGCAGATAATATACCAGTGCTGCATATTCCAGTAATGTTCTCACATAAGCTATATATATATATATATATGGATTTCAAAGCCTCCTTGTTTGGTCCTAAAGGTCGTTCCTATGTGTGCCAAGTTCCTGTATGCTGATGACATAATCCTGTTCACATGAGCTTTAGGTGTTCTTGGGATTGTCTATTCAAGTCTCTTTCCTGCATTGTTTATCTCTTATTGTCACCGACACATCTTTATCGATAGTATCCATATATTTAAACAAGGTAAAGATACATAAGCTAAGGTACTGGTTCATAAAGAAGATAAAGTTTGGAAAAGGACTATGGTGGTAGAAAATTGTAAGATTGGCCTTAAAGATTTATAAATTGAAAACTAAATTTAAAAGGCAAAATGCAGGTTATTTATTTAAAATATATCTGTTTACTTGTTAGGCATGTGAGATGATAAATATTAAATTAGTGTTACGGAGGAAAAGGAGCGTAATAGGTATAAATTTAGAACATTAAAGAAAGATAGAATCCATTAAATCACTGAAGAGGAATTATAGAAGTTATTAGATATTTACAGAAATAAAGCAGTAAGACCCGACAAGGTTTATAAAAGGATGCAATGAAATCTTTGAGAGCTTTAGAGCCAGAGTTAAGCAGAACAAGATGACACTGTTGTAGACTACAGGAAAAATTGTGTGAAAATATAAAGGAAAGTGTTTGTTTTTTTAGTTGTTGATGGTTGGAGTTAGTGTATGCTAAAATCAGTGGAATTTTTTTAATTATTTACAATAAAGTTTATATAACAAAATCACAAGCATAGTTTTTTTTTACATTTAATTAGAAATAGGTAGTGCCACACATCAGTGGACAGAAACAACTACACAATATCTCAGTTTCCTTGAAATTTTACAACTAAAGGTCAAGTGGATTTGGAAACGGTGTAATACTGATAGATAAGCGCTAAAAAAAAATTCCATATCCTCTTTTTAACCTTTGTCAAATTCTGAGGAATCAATAGATATATTGTACTATTAGATATTAACAACTTATGTACTAAGAATGGTGTATTGGTAACAAGAAATTCTAATGATACCACTAACTCCAACTCTTTCGATAATAAAATAGTGTAATCCCAATATGAGTTCTTCTGAACTTCATAGGGTAAGGGGTCCTCCACTGGATCCTCAACTCCCACAACATCAGAGCCCGATGCTTTGGACACAATGGTAGATTCAGTGGAACAATCTCTGCCAAAGCATCCCTCTTCTCTTGCCACCATCGCTACTCCACCTAACCCAGACTTATCACTAAAGGTAACTAAGTGTAGTTGCATGCCTGGACTTTGGCACATGTTTTGTTATGGCTTTCTTTTAGTACTGTATTTATGCTTAATCCATGTTTTCTGTCACTTTCAGTTACTTTACTTGCTAGATTTAATATCTGGCATCTTTTATAAAATAATGCATGTGCTGTAATAAATCCCATTAGATTTAGTGTTACGGTTGACTTTCACTGTCTTAACACTTTGGCATCGTGGTGACACAATACCGTGTACGCAGTTTGGGGAATGACGTCAACGCCGTCAACAATTAATTTTTGCTCATTCTTATTGGTAAGTATGAACTTTGTGAGTGAAAGAGTTTAACATTGGGTTGTGTGTCCATGGGCAATGTCCAGCCTACCTTGCGGTCCACTGCAGGTTACAAAGTGGCAGGCAAAGTGTTAATTGAGCTTACCAGAGTCTTGTGACTGATGTTCTGTAACACCAGATTTCACCAATTATGCATATTCTCAAAAAATTAACTTGTACACAGAAATGTTGTGTTGATATTTATTGTTATTTTAGTGGTGATGTATACCATGGTGTTGTACTTTGTATTAACCTATGCTGTGAGAAAAATGCTAAATGCATCATGAGCCAGTGGTCTCTCTCTCGTCACATTTTTTCCCACCTAATGATGGTGAGGAACAGAATAATTATAGTTAAGCCAGCTACACAGTTGGTTCTTGATTCTCCATGATTTAAAATTAACATACTACAGTACAGTAAAATCCAAAGCATGAAGTATTGGTTAATGTTTTCACAATTTAGTTGCATATTTTTAGTATTTTTTTTGTTTTAATTTGGTAATATAAGTTTAAATTTTATGTACTGTATTTGATAATGTAAGGTTAATAAGAATCTTGACTATTAACTGTGCATGATTTTTGTTGAAAAACTTAATATTTTTAATTGCACAATTATATAATTAGAAGCTGCTAAAATGCTATATAGTAGTTTGGAGTTTTATTGATATGCACAAGCGATCGTACTGTCAGCTTTTATATTATTTTAAATTGCTTATTTTGACTTGTTAAATTTAGGAGAACTGAGAATATGATTGTTTTGAGAGTAAGAGATAAAGATTGCTTTTTTAATGCATAATTTGAAATACAGTAATTCTTAGTGAGGAATGTATTCTTGTACAGCTTTGATATTTTGTTCTCATTAAGCACTCCCTTTCGTAAGAGTGCCTACTTCCTTAGGCAACATGTATAGTATTTATTTTAATATTACTTTTGAAATAAGGTCACTGGTTATCAGCCACATTAACTCTATATAAAAATTTGCATGAACAGTGCTGGACAAAACTACATAACTAAATACCAGAACATCTTAAAATATATCACATTTTCATGAATCGATATGGAATTTAACTTAAAATAAACACTTTAAATAAAAACAGTAAATGTAACCATTGTTTTCCATAAGAGTACAGTGACACCTCAGCTTACGGATGCTCCTCTTTACGAACTTTTTGGGTTACGAGCCCCCATTTCTTTGTAAAATCCGAATCAGGTTACGAAGTTTGCCTCGGGAAACGAAGTTGATACACTTTTTGGTGACCTAGCATGTGGTGGTACGGCAACCACGCCCCAGTCACCAGTGCCTAGTGACAATCGCTCCTGAATTCTTTGTAAAGAATTTGTGTTTTTCGGATTTTTGGGTATTTGAATATTAAGGTTATTATTATATATCTCGCCATGGGTTCCAAGAAAACCAGTGGTAAGGTTCAAGCCAAAAACACACATGTGAGAATGACCATAAGGAGCAGCAACAAGAGGCAGCTGAGGAAATGTCTTCAGGAGGGTAGGTTATCTTGAGATGATTTCGGGGCTTTTAGTGTCCCCGCGGCCCGGTCCTCGACCAGGCCTCCACCCCCAGGAAGCAGCCCGTGACAGCTGACTAACTCCCAGGTACCTATTTACTGCTAGGTAACAGGGGCATTCAGGGTGAAAGAAACTCTGCCCATTTGTTTCTGCCTCGTGTGGGAATCGAACCCGCGCCACAGAATTAAGAGTCCTGCGCGCTATTCACCAGGCTACGAGGCCCCTATTGCCTCCTCCTAGGTGGAGGAGGAGGCAATACAGAAATATCCCTTCCTCAACAATTAGGAAGTGGTGTAGACTGTGAGAAGAAATGCAAACTTTTGTTAAAACCACTCCCCCAGAGCATGATGTAGCAGGCCGTTGCATTAAACTTTTTAATGACATTGTGATGTCTCGCTACAGACAAATGTTACCACAAAAGGAAAAACAATACTTTATGGATAGGTTTTTAGTTAGAAAATCAAGCAGTGAGCCACAAGCAAGTCCTAGTGATATGCAGGCAAAATGTGCCAGAGAGAGTACCCCAGAAAAGTCATCACTGCCTGATGTTATAATGGAAGGGGGACTTCCCTTCCAAACAGTAACACCTCTCCTCCTTCCCCTCCACCCTCCTCACCATCTTCCATACACCAACACGAGTCATCAATAAAGGTAAGCAATAACTTGTACATAATTTAGTACTGAAGATTTGGGTGAATTAGGTATAAAATTTACTTTGAAGGTAATATTTTTGGGAGTGTGGAACAGATTAATTCAATTTACATTATTTCTTATGGGAAAATTCGCTTGAGTTTACGAATTTTCGGCTTACGAACCGTCTCTGGGAACTTATTAAATTCGTAAGCTGAGGTACCACTGTTCATGTGTCTTTCAAAAATTGGAAGAATTTTATTTTTTATCTTCTAATAAATGGATCTTTTCAAGTATAGGATAACAGAATTGTAAACATTAGGAATGTACATTATATTTATAATGTAATGTGGGACAGGTACTAGTACAATGAGGGGATGTAACACTGGTGTCTAGCAAACAAGATGCAATCAACACTAAACCTTCCTAATGTGCCATGTTAGCTTACATAGGAATATCAGATTATATATAAAAATAGTTCCCAGAATAAAATGTACTACCAACAAGTGGATAGGTAGACACTGAACAGATGGGTAGACAGAGCTGGTCATCAACCATAGGCTTGGGAATGGATTGGCCATGGGTGGAGTGGATGATTGTCTATAACATGGGCGAGGGTCGGTCATGATTCGGAGTTTGTACCAACTGCTTATGATAGAAATGAGCAAATTTGTCATTTTTGGAATGGTGATTATAAAAAATGAGAGGCTTGCAGGACCTTGCAAAATTAGGTCATATAAATTCTTGATAAGGAAATGTGTTCCAACCACCTACCCCTCTCTTTACTGCCCCAACATACACATTCACTACTGAAGATTGTGCCTGAATGTGCATTTACTGATGATGTTCTTTAGAGTAATTGCAGATAGCCATTAAATCGATGCGGGTCGGTCATGGGTTGGCCAGATATAGTAATGGGTTGGCGGGTTGGCCAAATATGAATTATATTTTTATCTGTCATTGACTACAGTAATATCAATTCATAGCAGAATGTTATTCTAATAAATACGAACGAGGTCATGAACGAGGTCAAGAGTAGCATGGTCAGGCTTTGTGTGGTCAAGTTTGATAAGTTGGCAGGCCTGTCATTTAATTCACATAAAGTTGATTATATAGGATTAAGAACATGCCTCGTTAACCCTTAAACCACGCAAAACATACATATACGATTTGATATAACTCAAGTTTTTAAAACTTGCACAAACACTTTCCAATTTTTTGTGCATAATCAACTAGGCAAATGCTCCAACTTTGTCTAAATGATCACAACATAACTTGAAAATCAAGAGAATCAAAAATAATTTTAAAATTTAATATTGAAAACCTTAGATTTTCAAATCGGAATAAAAAATATAAACAATTACCAATTGTTCAATTGGCGTTATGCTCTCAGAATAGCTTATGATCTTCATTTTCATCAAATTAGAATTTAGGTTTTCAGTATAGTTTACTGGTAAAAAATCAGGATGGCATTTCAAATATGCGACAAATTTAGACAAAAAGAAATTATAACTCCAAACATATACGCTTTATGAAAAATCCATTGTGAAGGGATTGTAGAACAGACAGCTGAGCACACAATGTCAAAATGGTGAGAATCGGTCAAAAATTGGAATTTTAGAAACCACTCCAAGTTGAAACTCTAGTTTCAGAGATAATTGAAGTTTAAAGTTATCGACAATGAATAAAGGTAGTTCTAATTTGTTAATTTAATTGTATGTTTTAATAAACATTGTTTGGCATTCGTACTCGAATATATGAAAGTTGTAGGTCAGTGTGTGTTGAAATGAAGTCAAGAAAAAATATCCCCCCCAAAACTAAATGTAGGGATAATTATAATATAATGATTTAGGGGATATATTTAGGAGTATACTTTATATAAGTTAAAAAGCCCTAATCTGGTCCCTATTCATCAAAACAATCTATAGAGACAGTAAAAATAGTTTGAAATCTGAGAAAAAATCAGCCAACAACAACTCGATCCCAAGTTCTGAGAGTTGACCGATTTATTTGTAGACCAGTTTCATTCTATCTTCACATAGTTAGGGAAGGGTATGCACTCTCCAGATGTAATGGTTACAACAAAAGCAGATAATAAACAAATGAGAAAAAGAAAACTAAATTAAAAAAAATAATCTTCCTAAAAAAAATATTTTTGGGTCATTGATGAAAATAACATATAATAGCATTGGATAATGAATTTATATGATATATAATAAAATTGAACATAATAACATTGTTACTCATTATTATTTGTGTTATTATGTGTGAGAGTTTTAAGTTACGGAATTTGAAAATGGTATTTGAATTACACACAGAAATCACAATTGCGTGATGCATCAAATGAACAAATCCGCAAGGGCCGTGACGAGGATTCGAACCTGCGTCCGAGATGTCACAATGCACTGAATAATGCCTTAGTTCCAGAGCTTGGGTTTGTATATTAACTAAATAAATAACTACAGGTATATGAATTATTTAGGATTCTAGTTGATCAGTCAGGGTTTGACTTAACTCTTGACAGTTTAAATAATATACCAATCAATTTTATAGTACTGTATCTCGACTGTGCATTTTTTTTTCCCATGAATATACTTGGATGTAATTTTTCAGAGAACAAAATTGACTGACGACCCAGACTTGCTGCTGTTCATTCTGCAGTCTTTTTTTTGCTATGGTGCTTAGCAAGGTTCTGGTTAATTGGATCTTTTTATTCGTGATATTGACACCTTTTATCTAAAAATGTTATCATATTCACTACAGGATATTGGTACTGATGTGAATAGCTTATCCAGACGATGGTTAGAGGGTGAAAATCCAGGGGACGAGCTGCGCACACCTGATCTTGACACCATGGACTACGATCAGTATCATCAGTCTCTGACACAGTATGTTATAGCACTAGTGAGAGCAAGGATTAATTAGGTATATTATAGTATATTAGGTAAAATAGGGTGATGTTATTTTATTTGTTTATTTATATATATATATATATATATATATATATATATATATATATATATATATATATATATATATATATATATATATATATATATATATATATATATATAATGTCGTACCTAATAGCCAGAACGCACTTCTCAGCCTACTATGCAAGGCCCGATTTGCCTAATAAGCCAAGTTTTCATGAATTAATTGTTTTTCGGCTACCTAACCTACCTAACCTAACCTAACCTAACATTTTCGGCTACCTAACCTAACCTAACCTATAAAGATAGGTTAGGTTAGGTTAGGTAGGGTTGGTTAGGTTCGGTCATATATCTATGTTAATTTTAACTCCAATAAAAAAAAGTTGACCTCATACATAATGAAATGGGTAGCTTTATCATTTCAAAAGAAAAAAATTAAAGAAAATATATTAATTCAGGAAAACTTGGCTTATTAGGCAAATCGGGCCTTGCATAGTTGGCTGAGAAGTGCGTTCTGGCTATTAGGTACGACATATATATATATATATATATATATATATATATATATATATATATATATATATATATATATATATATATATATATATATAATATAAAATATTATTATACAGATGGCCACTTGCTTTTTGGACATCTAAGAACCGAGACTGAACGAATAACTTATTGTGCCTGGATAAGTGGTTCGCAATCCTGAAAATCTAGGGTAAAAAGTGTAAGAATTTGATGGCAAAAGTTTGACAGTATTTTGTTTCTCAGCAGTATGAGAATTTCTGATCCACTTGTTAACTGGAAGATTATTATTGATGGTGCATTGTTATTTAGATGGAAGAGATGGTGGTGAATGTTGGTGGTGTTAGGTTGAACGAAGTGGAGATTAATGGTGATGAGGTAACTTCATATGTTGAAGTGTTTGGGTCGTCATGTGATGAGCCAGTTGCAGGTAGTTTAATGCCAGGTTTCTTGGAAGCTTTTGAAAAAGTCTTCAATTTAAATTTGTTTAATTTTCTTCATTCTTGTTTGCAAAAACTGCATGTACATCTTATACATGGTCTTCATCTTCAGAGGGAAGACCACGTTACTTCTTTTCAGAAAGTCAAGAATGCCTTCAAAATGTTTTTGAACGTTTTCCATGTTACCTTTTATCATTAACACTTCCTCATCGTCATCCTCAACTTAATTTTTCCTCTCCTGGCTTTTTTTTTCCCTGCAACTAAATCCAAAATTTTATCATCAACCATGGTTTGAAAGGTTGGGGCATCTTTGTCTTAATCTACCCACTTAGCTATTTAATTTTCTAGTGTTTTTGTTCCAGGTTCTGCTTTCAGTTCTGGGGACTTAATCCTTCTGACATAGGCTAGGAGATAGTTAGCTCCGTGGAGCCGACGGGGCTCCATCCAGAAAACCAGCGCTGAATGTAATGAAACGCCATTTTCTGGGCGAGACCCGGAGGCTCCCCGACAACCCTCCCTCCCTCCGGTCGGCGTTTTTTTTTTTTGTGTGTTTTGACATCCAGTCTCAGAACTGATGGGTGAATAGCTGGCATGAGAGGTCTGGGGCTCCCCCTGCCCCCTACCGGGGAGGGGGGAGCTGCGCAGGCAGCGCAGCTGTCATATGACATGTGACGTCATACTAGTTTGCTTGTTTTCTGTTGGGGAGTTCTATCCACTAGTTAGGCTTTTGGTAGAAATTTTAACCAGAATAAGGGTTTGTTTTGGAATGCTTACCTTTCTGGATGCTTGACCCGGTCGATGGCAGACATAGAATGCTTCCAACCACACGGGGGTTTCTATAGGCTATTGCTCCCCTTGCCTTTCTGAGGGGGCCAGGTTCTGGCCGTGGTCCTCGGTAGGCCCTAGAACTCCATACACATGACTGATGCCAAAGTCTGACATTAGCATATCAGCCTGGTAAAGCTCCGGGGAGCCTCCAGGTCTCACCCAGAAAATGGCGTTTCATTACATTCAACACTGGTTTTATTGTGTAGGCTATATAAGATTCCTAATATGTTCCTTGTTGGCTGTTGAGATGTCTGTTAAAGTTTCTTTGATAGTGGTACTTAAGTTACTTAATAATCCTATGATCTGTAGGTTGGGTCAGTAAAGTTTTCTTGAGTGGTAAAAACCTACTAATGATATTGCCATTTATTAGCTTATCATTTTGTGGATACGTTGGACTATTATCTAGAAGCAGCAAAACTTTGCTGTTTTGAGTTAGGTCAATACTCTTGAGGTGCTCATTCTCTTCAGGTACAAAGTTCTTGTTAAACCACTCTGCCAATATTATTCAAGACATCCACACTTTTGGCTGGCTCTTTTAAATAACAAAGAGGAACATAGTCAATTTTAAAGCTCTGGGGTATTTTCTAATCCCAGTCATAAGTAATTTACATTTGTTCGTTCCAACTGCATTAGCATACCACAACACACACATTCTTTGTTCTGCTTTACCACCAGAAGGATCATCTTCACATCTAAGAGCCGTATTGTCTGTGGGAATATACACCAGTACAAACTTGTCTCGTTGGCATTATAAATTTACTAAGGAGATAAATTTTCTTCCTGCACCATCCACACAAATTAAATATTTTTCTGCAACAGCAGCATCGCAGATTGCCCTTCACTGTGTACTTTAATGTACCTAATGCCATGGCAGAGCATAAAGCTTCTGAGCCATCCATCAGTGTATGAGCACTGGGAATTTTCATTGATTTGTTAAATTCTCAGGCTTTTTCCACGAGCAGCCAGCCTACCATTGACTTTTCGCTTCATGCTTCTGCTTGTACCACTGCAACACTACATTATCAACACACTCCACATTTGCTTTACTTGCTCTCTTTCAGTTATGTATTGCTTTTGCTTCTTGAAAAATAGTCGAGAATGGTAGATTTAGCCTTGATACCTGAAAGCATCGTCTTGCTAATATCATATGCAGCCCACACAACACTTCTTGGGATTTCACTCAACTTTCTCAATTAGTTAAATTTCTTCTCAAATGTCAGCACTGACCTCTTTCTCTTTCATATCCCACTTACAGAAGCTTTAACTGATACAGTGTGTTCATTTGGAGCCAACATTGGTGCAGATATTCCTAGATTTTTATAATATATCCAACAAAATTACAAAAAACACTCCTCCATCTCATGACAAATGGAAACAATGGGACGAAATCTGTGACGTCACATGGGTAGGAGGCGCTTAATTGGTGGCTGATATGGTCAGTTGACAAACTAGGCCCATCTCCCACCCACACCCCACCAGCACCAAGCAGTGAGGCCAGGTGGGCGCTAGCATCAGAACTTTATCGCTCATTTTTAACCGGATCGCTCGCCTCGCCAATTAATTTTTTTTTTTAAACAAACCCAAAACAAATAACAGGCATATCTGGATAAGTAGTGTTCAGGAAGCATGTGGTCATCTGTGTGTGTGTTTTATATAATATATATATATATATATATATATATATATATATATATATATATATATATATATATATATATATATATATATATATATATATATATATATATATATATATATATATATATATATATATATATATATATATATATGTCGTACCTAGTAGCCAGAACTCACTTCTCAGCCTACTATGCAAGGCCCGATTTGCCTAATAAGCCAAGTTTTTCTGAATTAATATATTTTCTATAATTTTTTTCTTATGAAATGATAAAGCTGCCCTTTTCACTATGTATGAGGTCAATTTTTTTATTGGAGTTAAAATTAACGTAGATATATGACCGAACCTAACCAACCCTACCTAACCTAACCTAACCTATCTTTATAGGTAAGGTTAGGTTAGGTAGCCAAAAAAAGCTAGGTTAGGTTAGGTTAGGGAGACGAAAAAACATTAATTCATGAAAACTTGGCTTATTAGGCAAATCGGGCCTTGCATAGTAGGCTGAGAAGTGAGTTCTGGCTACTAGGTACGACATATATATATATATATATATATATATATATATATATATATATATATATATATATATATATATATATATATATATATATATATATATATATATATATATATATATATATATATATATATATATATATATATATATATATATATATATATATATATATATATATATATATATATATATATATATATATATATATATATATATATATATATATATATATATGTCGTACCTAATAGCCAGAACGCACTTCTCAGCCTACTATGCAAGGCCTGATTTGCCTAATAAGCCAAGTTTTCATGAATTAATTGTTTTTCGACTACCTAACCTACCTAACCTAACCTAACCTAACTTTTTCGGCTACCTAACCTAACCTAACCTATAAAGATAGGTTAGGTTAGGTTAGGTAGGGTTGGTTAGGTTCAGTCATATATCTACGTTAATTTTAACTCCAATAAAAAAAAATTGACCTCATACATAAAGAAATGGGTAGCTTTATCATTTCGTAAGAAAAAATTTAGAGAAAATATATTAATTCAGGAAAACTTGGCTTATTAGGCAAATCGGGCCTTGCATAGTAGGCCGAGAAGTGCGTTCTGGCTACTAGGTACGACATATATATATATATATATATATATATATATATATATATATATATAAAAATATACTGTATATAATAATGTGTATATATAAATAAATATAATAATTTTTTTAGATAGAATTAACAGTTAAAATGTTTTGTATGATGTGTTGTTTTGTCTTGGAGTGAAGAATTTCTAGGTGCAATCATTGATCATTAAAGGCTAGTTGTAGAGGATTCAAGGGCACTATTGAGAAATCACCCTAAATTGTAAACTTAAATTTTGTGTGAGAAATATGCATCATACATAATATTCACACGTGTTTACCGTTATTAACAGTTTGTCTCGTTTTCTTCATCTACATTACAGCAGTAGAATGATATTTAAGAGAACTCTTGAACTGTCCAAAAACA